AACCGTGGTGGGAACAGTGGTGGGGACAGTGGGGAACGTGCGACAGTGGCGTGGGCACTGGTGGGGACTGGGGACGGTGGTGGGAACAGTAGGGACAGTGGTGGTGAGGACAGTGGTGCTGGGAACAGCAGTGGGGGATGTGGTGCGGACGGTGGTAGGGACCCGGGAGTCGTTTGCTGGCGGTGAGCGCGGGAGGGGAGAGGGAGATGGAAGGGGTTCGACCGGTAGTGACCCCCCCCCGGTTTTCGAGGGGGGGGGTTCGAACCGGTAGTGGCCCCCCTGTTTTTCAGAGGGGGGGGAATTCGAACTGGTAGTGACCCCTCCCCAGTTTTCGAAGGGGGGGGTCCGAACCGGTAGTGGCCCCCCGCCAGTTTTCTGAGGGGGGGGGAGGGGTTCGAACCGGTAGTGAGTGATCCCCCTCTGGTTTTGGAGGGGGGGGTTCGAACCCGTAGTGACCCCTCCCGGTTTTCTGGAGGAGGGGGGGGGAGTTAGGGGAGACCCCCGGTTTTCCAGAGGAGGGGGGGGGGAGTTAGGGGAGAGGGGGGGTTCGCCGGGGGAGAGGGGGGTTCCAGCAGGGGAGGGGGGATTTTCGGAGGGGGGGGGTGGGGGACCCCCGGGTTCTGGAGGAAGAGGGGGGGGAATTTTCGACCGCAAAGCGGCGGTGGATCATTCTCTCTCTCTCTCTCTCTCTCTCTCTCTCTCTCTCTCTCTTATATATATATAGATTCTGGTGTTGCGATCGATTAGGCGATGCGATGGTACAATGTGTTATGCCGCGCTCTGTCATGGCATGGCTTGTCATGGTATGTAATGTTATGTGTTTTGGTGCTGTGCTACGGCGTGATCTTTTCTGTCATGGTCTGTTATGGTATGATATGTGATGCTATCGTATTCTAGGTTATGTGTTGTTGTGGTATGAGGTATGATGTGATGCTGTGTTCTGTATTATCCGTTATGCCATAGCGTATAGTGTTATGATATGCCATGTTCTTCGTGTGTCGCACTTTGTCATGGCATGACATGTCATCTGTGCTGCGATGCCATATGTCGTGCTATTCATGTCGCGATGCTGTGTTATGAGAAGGTGTGTTATGTCATTGTGCGTTATGTTATGAGGTGCTATGCCATGGTACGTTGTGATATGGTATGTGTTGCCATGTTACGTGTGCTCCGAACTGTCATAGCATGCGTTGTTATGCTGCGTTACTCTATGCTATGCCATGCCATGTTATGTGAGGCTGTGGCATAATATGTTATGGCATGTTCGGTTATTGCGTTGTGTTCTTGTGGTATGCTTGCTTTGTCATGTTACTGCTCCGTCATGGTGTATGTACGAAACGGTATGTCATGATATGGTATGTTATGCTCGGATCTGTTCTGTCGGGTGGTGCGGTGCCATGTGCTGTTCTGTCATAGCTTATCGTGTTGTGCTGTGCTGTGTTCTGCCATCTTCTAATGCAGCTCTGTCATTTTATGATTCGTCGGCGCGGAGCGGGACACTTGGGGATACCTTCGAAGTCATCGATCCCAGTATGGGATGATCAGGCGGCGCGTGTGTGGCACCACTGGAAATGCCCGCGAAGCAGAAAAACAAAAATCTAGGATATTCGGAAGCCTGGGGATCCGGCGGCCGCGGCATGCAGAGAGGCGCGAGGCGGGACTCTCGGGTATACTCGGGGGACCCGGGGATCCGCCGGCAGCGGTATGCAGGGTGGGCGGGTCGGTAGGTCTGTTCCTAGAAGCTAACGGCCCCAACCTGTCGGGTGGGGAATTAAACATCGAATGATAATATGACGATGATGCTGGTGTTGATGATGTTTATTGTGATTCGGATGGTGGTGTGGATGATGATGAGGACGAGGATGAGGATGAGGATCTGGATGAGGATGATGATGATTATAATGACGATGATTATGACGGTGCTGATAGGGATACTGATGATGAGGATGAGAATTGGAAGGGCGATGAAATGGTATGACCATAGCATACAAGGTGCGTATGTGTATATGCACACTGCAATTTCCAGAGAGAGTGAGAGAGAGAGAGAGAGAGACACGGACAGAGAGGGAGAAGGAGAGAGAGAGAGAGAGAGAGAAAAGAGAGAGAGAGAGAGAAATAACGAAAGAGGGATAGACATAGAGAGAGAGAGAGAGACAGAGACAGAGAGAGAGAGAGACAGAAAAATGAGAGAGAGAGAGAGACAGAAAGACAGACGGTGGTTACGGGGAGGGAGGGGAGGGGGGGCAGAATGACATATCTGGGAAGGTGGAGGATTTGTAAGACTATACTGTTACATGGCGAAGCAAGAGGAAGAGCAGAGGGGATCAACTTGTGAACTGGATGAGGAAGAGGGTGCAATTCGGGACCAAGTGGAGGATTCAACTATTCGATCAGTTTGGATTTTAGCATGAGGGAACAGTGTTTATGGTGACGATGGTGGTGATGACGGTGATGATGACAATGACAATGGTAATGATGATGATGATGATGATGATGATGATGATGATGATGATGATGATGATCGTGATTATGATGATAACGATGATGATGATGATGATGATGATGATGATGATGATGATGATGATGATGATGATGATGATGATGATGATGATGATGATGGTGGTGGTGGTGGTGATGATGATGATTATGATGGTGATGGTGATGATGATGGTGATGATGCTGATGATGATGCTGATGATGATGATGCTGATGGTGGTGATGATGATGGTGGTGGTGTTGGTGGTTTTGATGACGGTACCAATGATGCTGGTGGTGGTGAGGAGGAGGGCAAGGGGTATTATCGAGAGCATGATGATGATCGTGATGTTGATGAGGATCAGGATGATGATGATGATGATGATGATGATGATGATGATGATGATGATGATGATGATGATGATGATGATACTGATGATACTGATGACGATGATAATGATGTAGATGATTATACTAATTATCATGCTGATGATGCTGCTGGTGATGATGATTGAAAGGAGAAGGCGGGGGAATCGAAGGAGCTGGAAGACATGGAGGGGGAGAATGTGGAGGATGAACAGGTCCAGAAGGAAGAGGAGGAGGAAGAGGAGGAAAAGGATGATGATGATGATGATGATGATGATGATGATGATGATGATGATGATGATGTCGATGGTGAAGATGAATATGAAGATGAAGATGACGATTATGAATATGATGGTGATGCTGATGATGATGATGCTGTTGCTGCTGATGATGATGCTGATGATGATGATGCTGATGCTCATGCTGCTGCTGCTGATGATGAGGAGGAGGAGGAGGAGGAGGAGAGGAGGAGGAGAATAGGATAGGACCGATCGCGAAGCGAAGTGAACAGCACCCGACCACCACCTGAGCCATTGCTCGGGTTGAGTCGGGCTACTCCCCTCTGAGCTCGAAATTGAAGCAGACGAAACAGAGGGCGTAGAACAGGAACCAGCACCAACTACGTAAGACGAAGAAGTCCGAGGAGCACGGATGATACCTCGGATGAATTCCTCCCCATTGAGAGCAGCCAATTGCGCAGAAAATCAATTCACGACGCGTGACAACACAAATGAGTTCATTCCTTCTCCCATCCACCAAGAAGGCGCCAATTGAAAAAGACCTGAGACAGAACCGTTGAAATGACTCCGCACTGATATGGCCAATGGCTAAGCTGAAGTGAGTTTGACTCTATGAGGCCCTAGCCGTGCCGCCGAAGCAACACTGTCGATCACTGGGCTAACTCCCCAGAAGGCAGGAGCTCGCCTCGCCCACAGACCGCCTCGCCCCAGTCGATCAGAAGAAGAGCCACCAATATCTGGAGCCCCAGACCTGCTTGCCCACCGAGACACTCTGCACGATGAGCGGGGAAAACTGTGAACCAATTGGCCAAGCACACTTGACCGCAGTGTTGTAGCATAGCACGTATAATCCAATCCATTGAAACAGCCATCCATTGATGCACGGCTCAGAGTACGGACGGCCGGCACGTCCCCATCCAAGCAGACAGTGAAAGGCTGAATACCAACGCCACCACCAAAGGCACGGCTCAGAATACGGACGGCCGGCACGTCCCCATCCCACGAACCAGGGAATCGCCATGCAGTGACAGCTAAAAGATTGGAATACGAATTGAAATGCTGCAGCCTCTGTCCTTTGCTACCGCTGGCCCATGACAACACTGAAATTGATAATGCGCCGACGGGCCGCGACTTGCTCCCACCTGCCTGCCTGCTGCCACCAGACGTTATTCTCGCACGCGCTGATCCGATCAGTGTAGCTGATGCAGTCGGCCTCGCGCCTACCCATCTGGCTCTGCAGCGAGAATCCGCTGCCTCTGATTGCCCTTCTCGCACGTGCTTGAGAGAGCGTTGTAGCGGATGACGGTCGGCACAACCTTCGGCTCCCACATTCTGTACATCATCGCCAGGGCACCCCAACTCTGCACACCGTATGCGCCGAGTCCAGTACTGTAGATGAGGATGACAGGAGCCGATGCGCTCAGGATGCGTACCAACAACAGGAGGCAAGAGCAACACTAGCAAAGTACAAGCCATAATCGATGAATCCTTTTGCTGAAACTGTTTACCTCGATTTAGCCAACGCGATCGACTGCGCACGCGGCCCAGGAGACGCGTTGCCACTCAAGCGCCACGTTGAGGCATCGAGGTGCGACTCATGTCCAAGCGATAAGCCAAAAGGGGGCCTACGGAATGGACGGAGCCACATGTGCTTGAGCCAAAATGGCTACGGAAGAGGAGAGGAGGAGGAGAAATTGAGGAGGAGAAGGAGGAGGAGGAGGAGGTGCATGGGGGAAGGAGGGGGCGGTGGTGGAGGTGGAGGAAGGGGCTGATGCGTGGAGGAGAAATTGACGAGCGGAGAAGCAGCAGGATTGGATGGAAAGGAATGGCGCGAGGAAGTGAGTTGCGGAGAGGTAGAGCAGGACAGCATATCCGATAATCGATGTAGAGGGCGCTACCCGTAACAAACATAGCTCACAGCTGGGTGGCACTTCGAGCTTCCACGAGTTCTTTGGGTTGCCCAAACTCCTTTCGATGACATCAGTGAGCGCGAGCACCGCTCATAAGCGCAGTTGAGGGGTTTGATAAGAGCAGCATCAGCAGAATGAAGAGGTGGAAGAGAAAGATGAGGGGCGATGAGCATCAAGCGGGTGGACGAGGTGGGCAAGGATGCTGATGAGGAGGAGAGGACAAGAGGAAGAGGGGGGAACGGGCGTAAATCGTGACCGCATTTGCACGACGACGGCGACGAACCAGCCGACAGCGTCAAATGGGCGGGATCAAGGAGGGTAGGGGGAGGGGAATACGAAGGATGGTGGATGAGAAGGAGAAAGAAGGATGAAGGAGGAGAAGGACGATAGTGGTGGGGACGAAGACAGGAGTGACAGAGCGAGGATTGACGAAAAGTCGGCCCGCATTGGCTCAACTAGGGTCCGATCGTTGCCGCATGTGTGACATGTGAGTTCGTAGCCTCTGTGCGCGACTGCTTCTCTTATTTTTCTTATCCAGTATGTGCTTGCACTACAGGGGTGCTCGCGGAGGCTGAAAGGATTTTGCGAAAGCGTGCCGCCGATTTCGGTAGGCGCCCGGGCTCCTGTGTTTTCTGTTTCTGGGTTCCGGCTTCCTGGGTTTGTTGGTCTCACGTTGAGGCCATGTTCCGGGGGTCTCGAGAGTGCAGCAAGAGTGAATGAGTAGAGGGCATACTGCGCCGATCCGGCAGCTTCCCCAATTTCGCCACCGTGCTCGCCGCGGCCATCTGGGGTGGCGCGCGCAGGATAAGACTCGCGGGGCCCGAGGGCGGACGGGGGCGATGTCGCGAGGGCAGAGTCGGCCCGCCGATGGGCAGCCCAGCACCCCGTTTGTCCGGAGGGGCCCAGTACAGTGCAAGGGCAGAGCCTAAACTCCGCCTGGGGTCGCGGGATCGGGTTCCCCTTCCCACTTTAAAATTTTGAATCCCGAACGGTGTACTGACCCGAAAATGAGCAAACGGCACAGGACTTCCTCGACAAAAGCTTTCGGGCTCGGTCATGCGACGACCCAAAAAATTTACTTGCCGACCTGAAAGTGGCCAAATTCCACAGGACTCTTTGCAACACAAAATTGCGGGTCCGGTTCGAACGAACGACCCGAAAATGTGCAAACCGCCTAGGATTCCTTGCAAAAACATCGTTCTCGAGGTCTTCGGGCCCACCCCGAAGAAACCGAACATGGGCACACCGCCTGGAACGCCCTATCAAAAACGATTTCTCGGTGGTTCCGGGCCTCGTCCGAAGGAGCCGCCGATGGGCGGACCGTTCAGGGCTTCCTGCGCAAGAAACGGTTTCCCGGGTGAGCCATTGTGAATGGGAGCGCGCCCCGCGCGGGATCGGGGTTCGCACGGGGGCACGGCTGCTCTCGCTTGTCCCGGGGATGTACGTTGCCGCGCCTTTTCCAGCATGGTGTTTGCGCAACGTTCGCGCTTCGCCGTGTTTCTCAAATCGGAATAAGTTCGGAGCGCCGATGTAGTGTAGAGCAGAAAGCATGGTGCACACGGTAGGGTGCATAATGGTGTGTAGCAGATCGTGGAGAAGTGGAAGGAGAGAGCTGATAATTCAGAGTAGACAGTCGAGAGTAGAGATTAATAAGCAGAGGGCACATTGTATAACGTATAGGAAATATTGTCGAAAATAGAGGGTAGATGTCTCCGCGCTCGTCGTCCTTTCTGTTCATATCGTCCCCAACCAGCGCGCTGCCTTTGCATGTTTCGTGAAACCGCGGCGGGGGGGAGACGAGCAAGGAACAAGGAAGAGAGAGGATATAAGGGGAATGGCGATGAGGATGATGACGATACTGGTGACGATGATGGTGATGATGGTGATGATGATGATGATGGTGCTGATGGTCATGGTCGTGGTGATCATGGTGATAAGACGAATCCGATTAATGCTGATGAGTATGATGCAGTTCCGGATGATGATGATGATGGTCATGCTAATGATGGTGATGGTGATGATGTTAATCCTGTTGATATTGAGAGCAACGTGCAGCTGTTGATGATGATGGTGATGATGCTGTTGCTGCTGTTGCTGCCGATGCTGATGCTGTTGCTGTTGCTGCTGATTGCGTATTGGGTTATTTTTCCGCCCAGGGCTGTGAAAACCAGCGGGTCCACTCTTGATCTGACCAGCCCACGTCGTCATCACCGTCCCAAGGCACGTTTTCTCGTCCTCGGCCCCCTGCCCAAAAATCCCGTCCCGGTTGTAGCCAAGGATTTACTGGAAATTCATGTTCTTGAGGCTGAGCGTCGTCTGGAACATCCATGGCGGCGCTCGGTGCAAGAGTGTGGGAAGCAGGAAGAATGGGAGAAGAGTGTGGAATGCGTTGCCCGAGAATCGGGTGGTGGGGGAGTCGGCCTGGCTCCCCTCGTGGATCTCAGCCACAGGTTCCGCTGCCACTGTGGACCGTACGGGAGTAGCTGTATGGAATACAGAGAGACCCAAGTGGGGGACCTGTGCCATAAGAGAGCACGTTCTCTTTCCTTTTCCGGGGGCCAGGGTGCGCCCGTCGCCTGCGCACCAGGGGAGTCAAGGGCCCTCGAGAGCCGCAACGGCGGCACACAAGAGGCGCAGGAAGAGGAGGAGAGGCTGACATGGGCATGGCAACCACAGTCCTCCTTCTCTCCACGCCATCCAGCCCAGGACGGCGATGGCTCTACATGAGCTGGCCGCGCGCATTCGCTTGCCGCGACTGTCAACGCCTCGACGCTGCGCGCGAGGCCACGATCGCCAAAAAGTGCGTGTGCGTGTGCGTGTGCGTGTGTGTGTGTGTCTGTGAGAGAGTGAGTGTGTGTGTGTGTGTGATCGGGGGCCGCGCGCGTCTACTGCTTTGATTGTCTACGCCGCGACGCTGCGCGCAGGACCGCGATCGCCAAAATGTGTGTGTGGCTCCACTTTCTACGGCGCGTCGCAGCGCGCGAGGCCGCGACCGCCAACAAAAAGTGTGTGTGGGTGTGCGTGTGCGTGTGCGTGTGCGTGTGCGTGTGCGTGTGGGTGTGCGTGAGCGTGTGCGTGTGCGTGTGCGTGTGCGTGTGCGTGTGCGTGTGCGTGTGCGTGTGCGTGTGCGTGTGCGTGTGCGTGTGCGTGTGCGTGTGCGTGTGCGTGTGCGTGTGCGTGTGCGTGTGCGTGTGCGTGTGCGTGTGCGTGTGCGTGTGTGTGTGTGTGTGTGTGTGTGCGTGCGTGCGTGCGTGCGTGCGTGCGTGCGTGCGTGCGTGCGTGCGTGCGTGCGTGCGTGCAGCACTGGCGAATTCGAGGGCTCCAGCCCAAGTGCTCAAGGGGCTCTCTTGCTTCTGCATCGCCACGTGCAGGCTCTGCGCCTCGCTCGCCTGGGCCGTGGTGGTTTCGGCACTGGCAGCGCCTGACGAAGAGTGCGCCGCCATCTCGGATCGGCTCGGCAAGCTCAACGAGCAGGCGCAGTGCGGCATCTGAGATTGCGAGCGGAGGCTCAGCGACCGTGTGGCGTGCTGCGAGATTGTCGCAGGTACCGACCAGGGAGCCTCGCACCGCGGCTGCCAAGCGAAGACAAAGTCAGGCAGGACGTGTCAGCGATGAAACGTGCAAGTACCTCACAGCCACACGTACACCCCCGAGAGGTACCACGACTCACTCGGGCCCTCGTCGTCCAACTGCGGCCGCAATCTGGGAGGTGGCGGGGACGAAATCTGGTGCTACACGACCGATTCCGACAAGCGCTGGGAGTACTACCGTCCCCTCCCAGCCGCTGACTCGGACGCGGACGGGCCGGATACCGACCAGGTGGTGTGCGACGAGACTGGCGCAGACGTCGATGATGGGGCCTCGTATACCGCGGCTGCCAAACGAAGACCACGTTAAGCACGACGTGCCAGCGACGGGACGTGCGAGTACCCCACAGCCACACGGCCACCCCCGAGAGGTACCCCCACTCGGGCCTGACGTCCAATTACTGCCGCAATCTGGGAGGTTGCGATCCTGAAGCTCGATGCTGTACAGCTGATCCCAGCAGGCACCGGGAGTACTGTCGGCCCCTCCCGGCGGATGACTCGGATGCGGACGCCGACATCGTCTCACCGATTCCCATCCCCAAGGCGATGGTATTTTATCAGAGCGTGAATTACCTACCCCGCTTTCGCTTCCAGGCAAAACCAAGCCATACCACGCGCCTACTCGTCAAGCGGCCTGACCAGTACAGGCTGCAATTTGGCATCGTTTGGTATCTCTTGGAAGCGAGGGTGGTCAAAAGCGAGGTAGGTTTGTGTTCCCCCTATTTTAGCCCCGCTAGGTCACAAGCCCATGTGGGCATGGGTCCCGCGGAGCCCGAAGGGAGCAGCATGTCAGCGAGGCACGACGCCCGGGTCGACTGCGCGGGCATTCGCAGCGCAGGGTTCTCGCCCGAGCGCCCTCTTTCCCGCGCGGGGTGTCGCGCTGGCAGCCCGCGTAAGCCGCGGCGCAAGATCGCCACGTCTTTTCTCGATGGGAGTTGGCGCGATTACTGCAGCGTTGCGGCACATCGTACGCTTACGAAAGCCGCTGGGAGGTACAGGTGAGGCTTTGGTTGCCAGGGTACCACACGTAGCGTCGCCTTTCTTGAGATATTATTATTGATGGTAACAGTACTAATACGAATCAGGATACTAATAATAATAGTGACAATAATAATCACAGATAAACAAAAATCAATGCATCCATACGTACATACATACATACATACAAACAAACAAACACAACTATATATATGTATCCCCATGTATTGCTGCTGGCTGCTTCGTGCTCCCTCGGCTGCCCTCCTTCTCCTCCCGGGCAGATCGCTGTAATGCATGTAGACTCATTTTCTCTTGTTGCTTGTGTTTGTCAATCTGGGACCCTGCCCATATTTCTATGGTTTTATATTTGTAGATTTCTATACGTCTATACATCTATATGTCTAAATGTCTGTATTTCGGTATCTCGGTTTCTATAGTTCTATATTTCTATAGTTCTACTGTTCTATATTA